ACTGTCTCAGTTCAGTTTCCAGAACTGATGTTCAGATTTTGTTCATCAGCACTTCTCTTTTTTTCCATCTAGGAAGATGAAAGCTTTGGGGTCCAATCTGCTCAAGACCTTCTGATGAAGATTCAGACCACTAAATGGAGAAGCTCCAAGACTAACTTTCCCTCCCTAAAGTTTTATCTTTCCTTTCCAGTCTTTACACCTAATATTTCTTTCTTTCCTTATAACATTTGGCCAAGACCTTCAGCACCATGTTAAATTGTAGCAATGATAGTGGAAATCCTAATCTTAAAGAGAATGAATGCAGCTAGTTTTCCATTATGAATGACATTTGCTGTAGAGTTTTAGTAAACAATATATCAAAATAAATTACTCTCTTATTACTGACTTGTTGCAATTTTTATAATATACAGGTATTGAACTTTATCAAAAGTTTTCCTACATCTTTCAAAATAATATGATTTTTTCTTCTTAATGTAGAGAAATTACACTGAGAAATTCTTCTGATGTTTAACCATCCTTAAGTCTTGGGATTCTACTTATTCTTGATGTATTTTCTAAATATGAGCTGGATTTAGATATATTGTAGAATTTTTGTAAATAGAATGAGTCTATAATTTTTTTTTTCTTTTACTGCATTATTCTCATCAGATTTTGGAATCAAAATTACATTAGACTCATACAATGAACTAGTGGGTTTTCTCTCTGGAAAAGTCTGTATATGATAGGAATAAACTGTTCCTTGAAAATGTATTAGAACTTATCTTAAAAACACCTAGGTTTTGAGAGAGAGGTTCTTGATTACCTTTGCAATTCCTTTAATGCATTTTGGTCAATGTTAAGTTTTGTTTTTTCTTGTGCCAGCTGTAGCATTGTATATCTTTTGTTTTACTAGGAATTTATCCTTTTCTAGTTTTTCCAATATACATTTAACTCAGTAAAATTAAATGCTTCCTATTGTACATATAGCCATTTTTCCTTCAGTCTGCATTTGCACATTTTTTTGCCTTGATCAATCTTGCCAAATGTCCTTTTCAATGGACCAACTTGTATTATTAATATTCTCTATTGCTTTTTTGTTCATTTAATTTCTGCTGTTTATTTTCTTGTTTTGTTTTGGGGCTTTATTGCTCTATTCCAAAATATTTATGCAATTTGTTTTGTTTTTAATTAAGCTATTCAAGATAATTGTAAATTGATATGTAGTTTGTAAAAAATAATACAGAGATCTCATTTACCTTTTACCCAGTCTCCTCTGAAGGCAATTCTCTTAGAAAGCACAATTACCTCAACTAGGCTATTTACATTGATAGTCAAGATACAGAACAGTCCCATCACCAAGATACAGTTCCATCACCACAAGGATCCCTTACGTGTCCTTTTTATAGCCACACATTTGTCCTACACCCACCTCTTTCTTAACCCCTGATCTCTACTCCATGTCCAGAATTTTATCATTTCTAGAATGTTATAGAAATGAATCATATAGTATGTAATATATTGTTTTCTCAGTATAATTCCCTGGAGATTCCTCCAGGTGATTGTATGAATCAACAGTTCATTGTTTTTTATTGTTGAGCAGTATTCCATGGTATGGATGCACCACAGTTAATTCATCCATTGAAGAACATTTGGATTGCTTCCAGTTTGGAGCTATTATAAAGCTCTTATACACATTTATATACAGGCTTTTGTGTGAACTGTCTATTTCTCTGGAATAAATGCCCAGGAGTGCAATTGCAAGATCACGATAGTTGCATGTTTAGTTTTAAAAAGACACCACCAAACTGCTCTCGGATTGACTATACCATTTAACATTTTCACCAGCAATACATGAATGAGTGATGCAGTTTCTTCACGTTGCCAACATTTGGTGTCAATTTTTTTATTTAGCCACTCAGATAGGCATATAGGGATAGCTCATTGTGGTTTTTTGATAATTTGCATTTTCTAAGGGTTAATGATGTTCAACATCTTTTCACGTTGTTATCTGTATGTCCTTTTTGGTGAAATGTTTGTTCATATCTTTTGCCCATTTTCTAATTGGTTTTAGTTAAATTTTGATAATTCTTTATACATTCTAGATACCAGGCCTGTGTTGATACGTGGTATGCAAACATCTTTTTTTCCCACTCTGTAGCTTGTTTTGTCATCATCTTAAGATCTTTTGAAAACAATTTTGAAGTACAATTTATTAATTATTCCTTTTATGAATCATTCTTCTGGTGTCAAGTGTTAAGAACTCTGCCAAAGATTCTTGGTACTCTTGGTACCAAAGATTTTGCCTTTTCCTAAAAGTTTTAGTTTTACATTTACGCTTTTTATTAATTTTAATTTATGTATAAGGTTTAAAGTTTAGGTAGAAGTTAAATGTTTTTTGCCTATTGCTCAAGCACCATTTATTTAAAAGACTATCTTTCCTCCACTGAATTGCTTTTGCACCTTTGTCAAAAACCAGTTGAGCATATTTATGTGGGTCCTCCTTCTGGGGTCTCTGTTCCACTGATCTATATGTCTACCCCTCTACCAAAACCAGCAGTCTTGATTACTGTAGCTATAAATTTTGAAATCTAGAATTGGTTCCTCCCACTTTACTTGAGATCATTTTAGCTATTCTAGTTCCTTTGCCTTTCCATATACATTTTCAAATAATCTTGTCTATATCTATAAAATATCTTGCTGGGATATTGATGGAGGTAGCATTAAACTTAAAGATGATATAAAGTATTTGGTAAGGTGGATAATTGCCAAAATTTTTCTGTATAGCTTTTGGCTACACAAAAATAGGAAAAATAACCTCTACCCATATGTAAGGCTTAGGAGATTTTGTATCACAGGTTAAAAAGAAAAAATATCATTGTTTATTAAAGCTGCGATAAAGTCCACCTTTTACACATGTAAACTACAGTGAATGATAATTTACACACCAGGTAAGCTTCAGCTTTTTTGATTTATTCTACTCATTTTCAAAAAGCCAAAGAGAACTTTAAAAAAGACTCCTTTATAGAGACATTAAGTATACATATCTCGGAAACCTAGCTGTTTACCTGTATGTACTTCTCTCTCCAATTTAAATTGCTTTAAGGTTCTCAAAAAACAACAGTAAAATGAAAGGTTAAAAATTTTTCATGTTCTTAGTTGAAAATGTGCAACAGAATTTCAAGAGAACATATTTTTATTCAATGGTTTTTTTAATTAAAATTTTTATTAAAAAATCATTGGGGAAAAAATAATCATTGGGGTAACATTGATCAACAAAATCCAATGTTTCAAATGTACAATTCAACAGTATGTCGTGTATATATATATATATTGCATTATGTGTTCACCACCCACAGTCAGATTTCCTTCTATCACCAAATATTTGACCCGTTTACCCCTATTCACCTCCCCACTTCCCTCTGGTAACCATTAATCCACTGTTCATGTCCATGAGTCTCTGCTTGTCATGTTTGTTTGCTTTTTAATTTATATCCCACACGAGTGATATCATGTAGTTTTCATTTTTTTCTGATTTCGCTTAGCATGATTATCTCAAGATCCATCTCAAGATATCACAAACGGCAGTATTTCATCTTATGGCTAATGTTCCACTGTATAAATATATCAGCTCTTCTTTAGCCAATCATCTACTGTAGGACACTTCAGTTGCTTCCATGTCCTGCCACTGTAAATGTTGCTGCTACTGAACAACAGGGTGCATATCTCTTTGTGGATAAACATTTCCAGATTTTGGGGGTAAATAGCCAGAAGAGGGATTGCAGCGTCATATTTTGTTTTTTGAAGAAACTCCATACTGTTTTCCACAGTGGTTATACCAATTTGCAGTCCCACCAGCAGTGTATGAGGGTTCCTTTTTTTCCCACATTCTCTGCAACACTTATTTGTCCTGTTGATGATAGCCATTCTAACAGATGTGAGATGGTTACGCCATTGTTTTGATTTGTATTTCCCCAATCGTTAGTGAGGTTAAGCTTCTTTTCACGTCTGTTGATCATTTGTATGTCTTCTTAGGAGAGGTGTCTGTTCAGGTCCTGTACCCATTTTTTAATTGGATTTTTTTGTTGGTGTTATTGAGTTGTATGAGTTCTTTGTATATTTTGGATATTAGGCCCTTATCAGAGGCATTGTTTGCAAATATATTTTCCCATTTGAATGGCTGCCTCTTTACTTATGTTGAGTTTAATAGAGTCCCATTTATTTTTGCTTTTACTTCCCTTGCTTTGAGATCAAATTCATAAAATCCTCTCTAAATTCAAGCTCTGTGGGTTTAGTACCTATGTTTTCTTCTATGCAATTTGTTTCAGGTCTTATATTCAGGTTCTTGATCCATTTGGAGTTAATTTTGGTGTGTGGCGATAGACAATAGTCTAGTTTCATTCTTTTGTATGTGGCTTTCCAGTTTTCCCAGCATCATTAAAGAGGCTTTTCTTTCTCCTTAATTAAAAATTTTTTTTAATACAGATACTACCATGAAGTAAATTCAAAGTTCTACATTTCATTTTTTTCAGTACAATTTATGCATATTACATTTAAGTTTGCATTTATTGTCTTAGAAATATCACACTCAAGGTAATAGAGCTCCAAAGAGAGGCCATTAAGTAGAGAACTGTCTCAGTGCATCAACTTCCTAGTTAGCCTGCACACCTACCCACTACACATACTTGCTGTCTTGTGGTTATTACTGTGTAACTTGTCTTCAAGATGTGGCTAAAGCTTGAATATACATCTGGCATCAGGTGAAGTCTGTGAATCCATGAACACAGGCCATCACTGCATTTAGGGTACAACCAGCTAAAGGGTTCTTTCTTGACAGTCAATGATGATGAATCTGGAAAGACTGACTATTCTCTTAGGAGGAAATATATCCCACCTTGAGTGACAGTTAAAGTCTAACAGAAAAAAAATTAGCAAAGAGAAAGAATAAATGATAAGGATAGGGAAAATACTGAGAATAGAGTAAGTACAATATATACACACTGGAGTAAACAGTGAAGCTTCTCCTGAGTTCAAGCTCTTACTTTTATTTTGAAAACTCTGATAAAAATTTATTCAATTACATTTTATACAACAGTATTTAGTGAACTTTGTCCAAAAAGATTTTAAGTTTATTTGTAAAAATAACAAAAAACTTTATTACTCGGTCTCTGGTCAATAAGAAAGGAAGGAAACCTTGCTAGAAATAACAATAAATAATTTCACACTAAAGGCCAGGTGACATAAGCTTAGTATATTAATCAATATATTTTCTTTGTATTTACAGTAAATCCATTTGTTAATACTGTAATAGAAAAAATAATAAATCAGTCCATATTATGTAGCAGAAACAGGCTTTGAGGATGATCGTCCCTTTCACAATAAAAACATATACGGATTTTTCCCACAACTAAAGTACTTTCGTAAATATGACAGTCTTGAGTGAAGGTAAAACTGACAGAGTACTTGACTTCAGACCAATGATGTCCTAGAATCAAGTGTATTACCAATAAACAAGCAGCAAAAAGCTGTTTCATTTTCCCAGGACTATTTAAATATAGTAGTTACCATGTGAGAAGTTAATTATACATTGAGTTATAAAAAGTAAAAACACTAAATTGGGAAACTGCATTAATCAAAAGCAGCTCCAAACAAGGCATTCTTATAAGAGTATCATGCAAAAGATAATTACATAATACATACTTTAATGACCAGACTAATATATAAATGAGGTAAATTTTACAGTCATTAGAACAAATAAACTATATTTAACTACTTAAGTGTTACACTGTCACTGTTTGTTTCAAAATATAAAGTAATATCATTAACATCTAAAAACTGCATACTTTGAATGTTTACTGATCCCTTTTGATACAGTAAAGGGAAACTGTGTAATAAAATATTATCTGAATATAAACTATCAACACCAATATAATACAATTATCATGTAATTGCCATTTTGTATATGCACAGTGGAAATATTTTGAAAGCTAGGAAAAAAAGATGAAAATAGACTGGTCAGAATTTTAAATTTCAGACTAATCCATGATATAATCTAGAACAGAAAAAAACGAAATTCACTAAATAGATATAACTTGATATCCTTTCCAAATTCAGTAGTCCACTAAAATGCAACTTCTAAACACATCTATTACCTCAAAGGTAAAAAGAGGAAGATATAAATCTCTTTTGAGCTTTAGTTTGAAGTTTATACTCTCAAAGAAGGCTAAGATTAGCCAGAACTACAATACTATTTTTAAAAATCTAACATCTTTGCTTTAGTATATCTATTTTAGTTATTAGTAAGAGATAAGAAAAAAATATTAAAATATTGAGTAAGTCTCTATAACCAGTTCATGAATATATTAAATTGAATGAATCAGTTAGGTCAAGAATTTCCTACCACGCTATTACTAATTATTTATAGCTACCTGTGGAACAGTAATTTAGAAGATGGCTATCATAACTACTGACAGCACTTTTCATAGTATATCAGTTTTCATTCTTACTTTCTTCTCTTCCTTGCCATTTAAATGCATAATATTTTAACTGTATCATAGGAAATTTTATTTTACAAATTCCTTGTTTTAATTACTAAAGAGGTGATTTTAACATATACACCTGCCAATCCTGAGATGATGATGATGATGATAATAGGAAAACTAAAAGTCAGATGATTTTTCACTCGAATTTCTGCTTTAGTTTTTTTTGGAAGATGGCTGGCAGGATAGAAAGAAGAGCCAAAAACATTAGAACAAATACTGAGTTCCAGGAAACAGCTTCCCCAGCCGTTGTAAGCTGGTACAGTGTTGTTCCTGCCTTGATTGCTACAAAAGAGGGAGGTGCCACACCTAAAAGACAAACAAAACAGAACCATCAATTGTTTTTTTAAATTAAAATTTTCTACATGTATAAGATTTCTTTTAAGAATATAGCAATCTCCATTTCAGAAATTTTTAATTTAATTTTAAGCCCCTCACATTTATTTCCATATAAAATATTAAATATTTCATAATCATCTCTTAAGTATAATGAATTTTAAAACCCAAGAAAAGTTTCCAGGAAATTATTTTATTTATTTTAGCCTACAGCATCTGGTATTCCCAGGTGGTCTCCCATCCAAGTACCAACAAGACCAGACCCCGCTTAGCTTCCAAGATCAGACGAGACTGGGCGCATTGAGGGTGACAAAGCTGTAGACTAGGAAATAATTTTATAACATTTATTAACAGGCTTAAAAAAAAGTGCTCTGATCCAGCAATTTCAAATTTAGGAAATAATGTGTATGAGCAAAGGTCTAGTCTCAAGGATTTTCATCAAAGCATTATAATAATAAAAATCTGAAAATAGTTGAAATGTTCAAAAATAAGACTGAGTAAACTGTCATTCATCCTTGATAGAATATACTTAAAAATGAAGTGGTAGGAGATACTCAGAAAAGATACTCCAAATATGAGTAAAAAAATATATTTTATACAAGAGCATGTACAAATGGTCACATTTCATTAAAAACCAGAACAGAAAAAGCTGCTTTACCCAAAGCTGAAGTTAACTAATTAGCTAAGTATTTCATCTGTAAAGTAAGGAGATATGGATACAATTTTCTTTTCTGATTCTCTAAATGCTAATATTATTTACAAAATCTAAAACTACCCCTGCTGAAATTTTTAAGTTTGTCAATAAATTTTTGTAAAAGTAGCAATAAAAAATTGATTTTAATTATTCTCTACAAAAAGATCTATTCTCACAAGTATTAATTTCAAAGTGTCAGCTCCTTGAATGCAAGAAACTGTTATCCTTCTTCTCCCATACTCTTGCTAATGCCCATAATGATTTCAATAAAATAAAAATAGAATCAATTCTCAAAATAGAATCAATTGAAAATTGAAGTTCAATATTTCAGTACTTGATTAGAAGATAAAAGAGAAAATTATTCAAAAAAGGCATCTTGATTTTTTTCCCTCTCCATTGAAGGAGAGAATGGAGCTTAAAAATTCTGCTTAATCCTGCATGATTAAAAAAATGTCCAGTAGAGCGCACTCTTTTTTAAAAGAAGTAGCATAAAAATACTTAAATCAACACAATCCAACAAACAGTTCTGAGCATGTATTTATATAGATCAGGCTCTATGCCATGGTCCTGGCACATTCTGCAAAAAGCATGAAATCTAGCCTGGCTGGACACTGTTAGATATGTATACTATCAGTTCTAACACAGCATGAACCAGAGCCTTACCCAGGAAAGTGCCAATAAAAAAAACTTTCAATGGCACATTTATTACAGGAGATGTAATATTAATAAACCAATTAGGCAGAAATGGTGTTATTCTCAAAAATATAATGTAGTTAATGAGATGTTCTCTATGACGTTCAACCTGCCAAAAAAAGAGAAAAGAATCAGGATTAAGGAAAAGTCAATCTTGAAAATAATTGTTTTAATATAAAATGCCTTATTTTAAATTCTCATCTTTGATAGTTGAGCGTCTATCTAATAGAAATGATCAAAATAAGAGCTTGAAAATGACAATGAACTAATCAAACGCTCATTACCAAAGCTAGATAGCATGGAATGAGACTTTTTTTAAAATTGTGCTTATAGCCTAATGTTACACTACTGAGGATGGTTCTACATTAGCCTAGATAATGATGGCCCGACAACATTTTAAACCTAAAATGGCAAAATTAAACTTATGACTAGATATAAAATACACAAGTAATCAAATTTTAATGCCTTTAACTTCCTACAATGCAAAGGGCTAGTAAAGCATATCGATATACCTACCTTCTAATTTTTAAAAATTTCAGATAATCTTTATTTTGTTGTTATAATACATATCATGAGTGAATTCATTCATTATTGATTAGATTTAAAAAGTACATGAAAATATTTAATCAATTAAATATGAATAGTGATTAGTGAATATTTCCTTTGAATAAGCTTTTACAGAAAACATATATTCCAAAGAAAAACTTACATGTAAAATGATTTTAATATTCAGTACATATGTGGTAAAGTGAGAAAAGCACTTGACTCCATACAAGTCTAGAGATCTGAGATTCTAGAACTTGTTTTACAAGTAAATGTGATTTTAAGCCAAATGCTTAATTTCTGTTAATACCCTACTCAGTAAGGCAAAGATGATCACTAAAATTCCTCCAAGATTTCTTTTGACTCTTTATAAAAATAGGGTTTTCTAAGTCTTACTGTGTAAGACCTTTCTGTGTAGTACTGCTTGTATTTATTATAGCTAGTCTTTGCAGAGATCTTAACTGAAGATAATAGTTGTTCTCACTGATGAAATGCATTAAAGGAGTTGGCTGATACAAGTTTTTCGGTGACCAACTGACAGCAAAACTGCATCAACACAAAACAGGTGAGGAGTCTAAATCTGTGGAGGCCTTTACATCAACATTTTGACTTCTTTGCTCTCATTGAAATTACTAGGAATGAAGAATTAAAATCACTGTTACAGGTACAAAAATTTTGTATTTGAAATTATTAACATTCATTATTTGCCTATCACTTGGTTTTGTTTTGGTCAAAAGATCATTTTTATTAAAGCCCTGAGTCTGAGTTAATTTAAGTGGAGACTATATCTTGACCTCCCAATTAGCCAAATAATTAAATAATTTAAAAATACATATTTACCTGCTGTGACCATTTTACCACTTTCTCTGTTAGGTATTTGTATACAACTGGCCTCCCAACTAAATAGGACAGCATATAACAGAATGAGGCACCGAGTCCAGAACACTAGAAAACAAGAAGTCATAAGCATTTTGTACTTTTCCATCTCATTTAGACGGATATATTCTATTCACCTAAGGAAAAGCTCAACTAGTTTACTTCTTTTGGGGTATGGGGAGGATACTCTGCATGAAATCTCTTGTGCAGAGTATAAGAACTGATTTGATGCAGTCCTTTCTCAGGCCAAATTATAACTAAAATGAAACAAATTGGTACTTGTGATTAAATTTAGTGACTATATCCAAATAGTTAACGGTTAGCCTTTAGCTTAAGAATAAAACTTCAAGAGTCAAAAAAAAAAAAATTTTTTTTTTTTTTTTTTTTGCTATATTTGAAACCACCACCCCCAGCCCTAAGACAACTCATTTTGCCCAACATTCTTGGATTATTCGAATTAAATAGCAATTATGCTTACACAGACTAATGGGACTAGTATACCACCATCATCCTCATCATTCTATTTAAAGCTATTTTTTTCCTACTCTCCCAATTTCATTTTATATACTTACCAAACAAACAAGAAATAAGGCTAGTGGAAAGGGATAAAGAAACCCCGAGAGTATACTGAGAAATATAGAGCCTGGAATAGCAAATGTTTGTAAGCTGTTAACTTTTAAGTTAAGGATTGAAACATAATGAAGTGAAATTTTAAAAAGATAAATCCAACATTTTAGGAAAAAGTATCAATACATAAACTATCATGTTAATAAGATTACAACCATATTTCAATATTAAAAATAAAGTAAAATTATACTCAAAAGTTTAAAAAATGAGTCCTCAGTTGTAATGCATTTAATGCTAAGTTGACCATTTACTGATATGTACCAGATAATCAGGCGGAAAAAAAAAGAAGAAAAAAAAGAGAATGAAAACAGTTTTTGGTAACCTTTTAAACAATATGCTTCCCCAACCAAAGTGTCCTATGATAGATGATTGGCTAAAGAAGCTGTAGTACATATATAAAATGGAATATTACTCAGCCATAAGAAGAGATGAAATACTGTCATTTGCAACAACATGGATGGACCTCGAGATAATCATGCTAAGCGAAAGAAGCCAAACAGAAAAAGAAGCCAAACAGAAAAAGTTTATATGTGGGATATAAACCTAAAAGCAACAAATGAGCAGGACAGATACTCATGGACACGGACTATAGGTTAGTGTTTAGCAGAGGACTATAGACTAGTGGTTACTAGTGGGGTGGGGGAGAAGGGGGTAGGTAGAAGGGGTAAAGGGGATTAAATATAGGGTTTAGGGGGAGGGTGAAGTAGGTAAAGGGGATCATATATGTGGTATTGAAGGAAACTGGACTTTGGGTGGTAACCGCACAATAGAATATACAGATATCAAATGATAATGTATACCTGAAAATTATATAATTGTATTAACCAATGTTACCCCAATAAACTTAAAATTAAAAAATAATAATAATAATAATATGCTTCCCTACTGCATTGTATTTACTCCCAAACGTTTTCAGAAAACTGCATTTCTGTGTAAATCTAAGTACATATAAGGCATAATTACTTCTAATTTAACTTATAGGCATTTGCCCTAATTCACTAATATAAAAAAGAAGGGTTACAAAATATAGTAAAAATCAGAAATCTTATTTTGAAAACAGTTATGCTTTTTCTACTTTCCTCTAGTTGCCAGTTGTGGCTGGGACCCCTTTTTCTCCCCTAACATGATTTCCTTACTAGTCAATCAGACTTAATGAATTCCCTCAACATCTCTTTCCTACTTTAAAATTTATCTTCTCCCATTGATTCTCCCTCTCCCTTTACCTTCAGGTCCTACTTATATTTTCATATCAATCTTCTTCCTCCTGGGTTCTTTCCTCGACTTTTTGCTCTTTTACAGGATCCGTCCTCTATAAAACCACTCAGACACCTATAAACTGAAGGAAATCTAGGTTTTCCTTGACCAAGGTACCCTATACAACTACTGTCTCTCACTTTTCTTCCTCACTAGGTAGTCTCTCCTTGCCCCCTTGCAACTTGCTTACCCAGCTACCACTCTATTGAAACTTCTCAGCCAAAATTAATGGCTTTTTCTCATCACTTTTTAGTGACCCCTGCATAGGATTAAACATCTTCTCACATGAAACTTTTCTTCTACATTACAGATATTCCTCCTCTAGTCTTTTTCTTCTCCTCACTCTCAAATCTGGGATCGTTCTAACATTATTAGCCACACTCTCCTCTCCCTTTCCTTTGATAAATTCAGCAATTTCCATAGCTTCAAGTATATGGCCATATATACTGATAACTTTGAATTCTCTATGTCTGATTAAAACTTGCCAGTCAAATACCATTCTCAAATTTTCCATCTGTCTACTGGATGCTTCCATTAAAAAATAATTAAAAGTAAATTTTATTAATATATTTATTAAGGGGTCTTCGGACCTTGATGGAAAGTTTCAACACATATGCAAGTAGGGAAACTTGTATTATGATGCCCTATATACCCATACACAACTTCAATAATTAACACATATGAAAGTTTCAACATATATGAAAGTAGAGAAACTAGTATCATGATGTCCTACATACCTATACACAGCTGTAACAATTCACACACAACCAATCTTGTTTTGTCTATATCCCTTACACTGGATTATTTTGAAGAGAATCCCACACATATCGTTTAATGTGCAACTACTTTAATACCTTTAAAAGATAGATTCCTTTTCTTTTTAACGTAACTGTAATACCAATGTCAGACTTCATGAGACTAACTATAATTCTTTACTGTTCTAATTACCTATTTAGTCCATGTTCAGATTTCCCAAATTTCTTTTACAGTTGGTTTATTCAAATCAGGATAAAAAAAAGAAAGTCCACACATGGCTCATTATATCACTTAAGTATAGTTTCCTTTTTTCCTTGAAATTAATTTGTTGAAGAAACCAGGTCATTCATAGAATTTATCACTTTTAGAGTTTTGCCTGTTGTATCCCTCAGAGTGATTTAATATGTTCCTCTGTCCTTTATCTTGTAATATCAACAAAGCCGTTCATTCTCTCTGCATGGGAATGTGATTTGAGCTTAACTTTCTAGATCTGCTTAGATTTGTATTTCTTCTGTTACTAAAAAATCTTGGTTCTTAATGTCTCAATTACCTATTTGCTTTGCAGACTATTATATATTATATAAAATATATACATTAGTATTATTCTGAAAACTTTTTTACATATTTACTTCGGAATATTACTATTAAAATAATAACTAAAAGTAGTTTAAGATTTTTTTCAAATATTTTTGTCCTTCATATTTACTCTAGAAGGGATTAGCCAAATTACTGTTTTTGAGATCATTTAAAATAATTCCTCTAGACAGTCAAACCCCCAACCAACTTAATACACTGTTAAAGTCATTTCATTTTGCTTTAGATTTTTAATTTTTAAAAATTTTGGTAAAATTAACCATTTTTAAATGTACAGCTCGGTAACAATAAATACTATCACACTGTTGTGCAACCAATCTCTAGACCTCTTTTCATTTTTCAAAACTAAAACTCTATACTCTTATTACTTTTCCAGTCTCTCCTACCCCAAACCCCTAATAACTACCCATTCACTTTCAGTTTCTATGAATTGGACTATGCTAGGTACTTTATACATGCAGAATCATATGGCATGTCTTTTTGCAACTGGCTTATTTCACTTTAGCACAATGTCCTCAAGGTTCATCTGTATTGTAGCATGTGTCAGAATTTTCTTTTTTTAGGCAAACAATATTTCATTGTATGTATATACCAGATTTTATGTATTCATCCATTAAAAAACACTTGGGTTGCTTTCACCTTTTGGCTATTGTGAATAAAACTATGAACATGGGTGTGCAAATATGTCCTTCAGGTGCTTTCAATTCTTTTGGTTATATACCCAGAAGGAGGACTGCTGAATCATATGGTAATTGTTTTTAATTTTTTGAGAAAACATTATCTGTTTTCCACAGAAATTGAACCATTTTACTAATTCTGCCTTAAAAAAAAAAAAAATGCCTATAGCACCTGATATTCCTAAGTGGTCCCATCCAAGTACTAACGAGGCCCGACCCTGCTTAGCTTCCGAGATCAGACAAGATAGGACACGTTCAGGGTGGCATGGCTGTAGACTGCACCATTTTACATTCCTATCAACAGTGCACAGAGGTTTCAATTTCTCCACATCCTCACCAAAACTTGTTATTTTCTGTTTTTTTGTTAGTGCCCATCTTAATGGGTGTGAAGTTGCTTTAGATTTTTAAGATTCCTGTCTTTTTTCATTTTGACTTAATTGGTTTCATAATTATGTGAAATCTTTACTTGATTCTAAAGTTAAATCTACATAATAAAGTACATTTAAATAGTTTCACTTTTATCCGTTTCATCTCTCTTTTCCTTAACAATATAGTTTCAAAGTAACACCTTAACAGCTTTTAGCTATACTTCTCATCCTTTTTAACAGCTACATAGTGCTCCAGTGTTTATATTTACCATAGTTTATTCAAACAATCCCCTATTGACTGACATCTGGGTACAGATACTTCTATTTGAATATTTAACACTCAAGATATCCTAAATCATTGTAAATGTTAATCTCCTTTCCCAACCCCAAACATGGTCTTTTACTAATTCCTTTTTTCTCTAAAAGGCCGGAATACAAAGTCAAAGAACTACTAAGAATAAGACTGGCATAATATCCATAACTGCTGAATAAGGGTGATGGGTACACAGAAGTTTACGATATAATTTTCTCTACTTTTATATATGTTTTAAACTTTCCATAATAAAATAAATTTAAGTTACTCTAAGATTTTGGCCTTAGGGAAACAAATAAGAAGTGATGGTGATACTTTCAATGATTTGTACTTTTAATGTCATCCACAGCTCAAAAGTCCTCAATAACTACCCAATATCAAATGAATATTCTAAATTCCTTAGCCTGGTACTCAAAGTTCTCTATAATCTAAGTATTATGTCTAGCCCATCTTCCTAAACTTACTTCTCAATTCTCCTTTGCTCACACTCTATACCCCACCTAAACTAGATTACTGATCCCTTCTCCTAACCATGCACTGTGCTTGGTTAGAAGCAAGCTAGAAGAAACAAGAACAAAAATAGTTTGAGAGAATTAACAAAGTAACCTGTCTTTTTAAAATAAAAACTGGTTTAAAAGGATAATGATTACTGTCACAACATCAAGAGATAATGTCTTTCATTAACTAAGAAGATTTGGAAAATAGATTGGCTTAGAATAAAAGATACAAAAATTAGAAATTAAAGTCTACAAATTGGAAAATCAATCTAGTAGCATAAGCTGCTTGAAAATATTTAGAAAGAACAAAGTTATTTTCCCTGATTAGTTAAAATACGGAATTATTTCTATTAAACAATGAAATACATACTAAGTACTATTTAAAAAATTCATATTCTTTGAATGACTATCTTCTCAGGATTTTTTTTTTTTAACAAAGAAAACCATTAAATGGAAGAAAAAGATCATGAACAAAAAGATTCATAACATCTAGAAAAGCAAAAAGTTAAATACAAATTAGTTCTTTAAACCTAAGGCAACTTTTAAAAACTACAGTATGGTGACTATTAATTAAAAATAATTACTTAAAACAAGACAATTAATAAAATAATCATAAATAAAACAAATAAAATAATTATCTCAAATAATGCAGAGGAGAGGAAAATGTTTATAATGAGAGAAATAAGCAGAATAAAACTGGTAATAAATATCCAGAAATAATATTGAGTTGAAGAGATAGGATTAAAGTGAGAATTTTTTGCCTTTTAATATTCTATTTAATATTGTTACATTGCATTAACAATTTTTAAAGGAAGAATAATTATATATAACTGAACAAATCTTTTAAAAAACCTTTTTCTTAAACAAAACTAGAAAGCATTTTTCAATTGAAAGGATACAAAATATATGTAGCAAAATAAGCTACAAGTACTTGTACATAAAAGGTGTCCTTATATTTGGATAAAACTTTTCCAAGAGCCTTGGCATCATCCATATCTCTGGGAACCTTCATAATCACTCTTTCTTCTCTAAAGAAATAAAATTAAAGTGAAAAATTTTAAAGCAAAAATTTGCCAAGACAATTAACATTACAGTTTGTCAACTTTAAAACATGAAGTTTTATCCAAAATGATGACGCCTTGATCCGTTAAAAGTAAAGCATAAATCCACAATTTTTAAGTTCAAAAATTATAAATTGTTTTTAATGCTTTAATATAATTAATACAATGAACCATGTACTCTATATATGAAAGTTAAAGATGACTCAAACTAAAAGGTTAAAAGCATTTGCTCCAACATTGGTGTAAATTTTGAATTAAGAAATGAATCACTGATGTTAGCAATATTTAAAATTTTACCATCATTTTGGGTAATCCTCATGACAAGCTAAAGTCAATAATCAATTACAACCAAAATTATTAAAAAATTTTATTGAATTTACAGTTCACACCTCTTCTGGAATATTCCAGCTCAAAGTGCAGATAATAACTAAACATTTTCTATGTTGCACATATTAAAATAATATATTATATATTGAGTATAATTGAAAAATTTTAAAAACATTTTTCCTTTATATTAATTTTCCTTTCTATTTGGTTTCTTGTTTGGAACTCAATGATTTCTTGCTTATAAAGACCTCAAATAATCACGTTTACATTTAATTTATATTGTGCCCATTTGTTTACATAATAAAATTTAACTGACCTTGCACAACGATAGACTGCTGCTTAAGTCCTATGAAAATAGCAGGTAAACTAAAATGGGTTTCCTCATTATAAATTTAAAAACAAAAAACAAAACAAAAAACAAAATCTCTTTATAGGGGTGTGCATGCAGCCATGCATACATACACACTACACAAACACAAAGAAATAAGCAGAATTATAAAAGGTTTATAATTGCACATTATTATATACGTGCGATGTTATTCTTAGAGAAGATTGGGAGCAAAGGCAACCTTAATCTACACTCTATATTCTTTCCTCTTTCAGTCAGCTCTTTATTTCCTACTCTCTGATCAAAACCAGAAAGGATCTAAAATTCAATCATACTAATATTAACAAAATACAACATGATATCCTCCCAAAGGCATTTACATTGATGCAAGAAATCAAAGTATTAAAATATAAATAAGTTTAACTATAAATTTCAAGCATAAAAAATTGTTAATAAAAGGAATTTAGAGGAAACAGGAACTTCCCAACACCTTGAAATTTCATTTCAGTTATCCATTACCACACCAGGCTGGCCCTGGTTGAAAGTCTAACTACATTTTAGTAGTCCCTTATGTAATTCATGATTACACAAGGGTTGTATTATTGTGGTTAAATAGCCCGAGAATATTTTGCTCTACTGAAGTATGTTTCAGGCCAATAATCTCTTCTCCGAAATTCAAGAAACTCTCAAAACCAAAATCTTTTTATTGTCAGCAAAACTTGACTCACACTTTTATAAACGTATTTATAGTCTTTTATGGTGCCTGTTTTTCTGCAAAACTATTAATGTATTTGGTTATGGGATGCTGCCTCAGATCCTGCTGGAAGTACTAATCAACATACAATATTTATTCCATGTTATTTTTCAAAAATGAAAAAACTGTAAATTCTGAAACACACTTAACTGCCAAGGTTTTTGCTAAGTAACTGTGGATATGTACTAGATATACAAGTCTCTTACAAGGTTCATTTCACTGTGAAAAGTACCTATTCAGATCATATCATTTCCATAAAACTGGGGTGAGAAAAAGAGCTAGGAGACACATGTTGTGGGTGAGGAAATAAATAAAAGCAAGATAAAAATTGGTTATAAGGAAAGATAGGAAGGGAAAATATAGGCAGGGATGGAAAAATGAGAAAAGCAGAAAAGGCCATTGATGTTTTTCAAAACACAAGTCAATATCTGTTATAAACTATAAAATAAATTTACTTGGTCACTACTAGAATTAAAACATAAATGAAATAGTTTGGAAAACATCAGAAACCACTACCCATTTCACAAAACTTTGACTTAGTTTTTTATACACACACACACACACACACACACACACGTATGCAAGTAAAGGGGAAGAGGAAAAGGTAGGCACATGTATGTAAAGTTATTAGAAAGATGAGGCCTTAATTAGAGGAATAGTGCTAGGAAAATCCTGCATAGAAAATCAAGAGGCATATCTGGAAAGAAGCATTTAAATAACAGTGTCAATGTGGACTTACTACAAGCCATGAGAGCTGATATACAATCACCATGACAGTTCTGTTGCTTAAAATCAGTTTAACTTTTAATCCACTTTCATCAGTAGAAATGTCTAGACATTTTCAGTTTCTTTCAGTATACTTACTCGCTAAGCTGAGGAAAATTTTTATATACCAAAAACATAACAAAAGCTGCAGATAAGAAAATGGACACCAGTATAAGAAGTGACATTCTTGCTGACCCAGCTTCTAGACAGGCTCTTTCTGAAAGGAAGAAAAAAGCTATAATTAAGATAAATACAAAGGAAGACAGTATTCCAAGCCAGCAGCAAATAATTTACTTAAAGGCTTTCCTCCCAAAAAACTGTTAACACTCTCACCCGAAACACTGTATTGTTATATTTTAAGTACAACTGTATTTGATTTTAATAACTGGGCATAGTACTTTTCTGGGATATAGCCATTTTAGAAATATGAAAAAACAGAACACCAGAATTTGGAACATTGGTTTGTTGACAAGCCAAAAGGAGAAAAGGGCATTGCTCTAAATGCTATCATTGAGTTTCAATTGTATATGATCTATATTGGGAGCTGATAGCATAGACAGAATGGCCTCTTAGGAAAAATGAGGTAATCTGGCAATTACTTCAACTGTCATAAGAACCTAGTGATTCACTAATGCAACTGGTGAATATTATATTTTCTCTTTACACCAAGGGCTTCAGAATACAGTTGAAGCTCAAATGTTAAGGGTGGCTCTGTCTGTGATTCCAAGAATGGGAGAATTTGTCTGCATTCCTTAGTGTTATCTTTAAAATTATATGCAAGATAAAAGAAATGAGATCCAGAAACAGCAAGCAGAAGAAAGAGCAGGGTTGTTTTTCCCAGAAGCAGTCAATAGTGGGAAGGCCAAGACATCTTAATAATATTCACTGGGGAAGAGGCAGGAGTAGGTGATTCAATTTGTGTTGGCCTACATTTACCATTATTCCATGTATATACTAATAACATTCAGGGAATTTAAAAATATATATGTATAAAATATAATTAGGATTTATTATTTTTAGTTCTCTGAGATTAGATCTGCCACTATGCCGTCCCCACAACTACTGTCTATGTAACTTTTATACATGCTTTTATGAAACATCCTAAACAAAAGTACAGGACTGTTTATACTCTATTAATTTAGCAAATCATTCTTCATGAATATTTATAAAGGTGTATTAGACAAACGTCATTGCCTGCTCTACTAACCGCTCCCCTTCTCTGGAAACTAGCACTTTTTCCATGCCCAAACCCTACTCCAAAGGGACTAATCTCATTGGCCTTATTATTACCATGTTGATTCTAACACTATATCCTCCCAAACATAGAAGGCTGATTGACTCAAGGTTGTATACATGACCCAAGTAGAAACAATTCATTATTGGCTGACCAAATTTTCTCTGGAGGATCTGAACTAAGAAAAAGAGATAGTTGTCAATGGGTGGTAAATCTTGAGGCTGAAAGGTCAAATAGTGAAGGCCACAGTCAATAACATGGCAAGCCAAAGACATGCACCAGAAAATAAGAGGGGAAGTTGGAATAGAAACCCAGAGAACAGAAATGGGAGCTATAGCTAACCTACTTAATTTTTTTAACTTTCCACTTCCTTTGCAGCCTGGCTAGATTTCATTTCTTGCTTATGGATACCAATGAGATTGTCTCATATTCTTAGAACTGCTTCCCTTTTTATTTATGCTCATTTAAACTGATTTCTGTTCCTTTACAACCAAAAAGCCTTAACTTTCATTTATCCTTATCTCAATATGGCAGTTTTATATATGTTGCAATCGACTTAGTAAGATTTTGCTAAATTTTATGTTGAACTTAGAGCAAAAGAAGCCATCTAGCCCCTTCTTACTCAAAGTGTGTTCTGTGAATTACATGAAAGCATCACCAGTGAGCTTGTTAGAAATGCAGATTCTCAAGTCAACGTCCCAGATCTACTAAATCAGAATCTGCATTTTAATAAGATACTCAGATGATCTGCATGCACATTAAAGCTTAAAAAGCAACAATCTGATTCACCCTATTTTAAAAGTAAACAGAGGTGCAAAGGAGGTTGCACTATTAAAAAAAAAATCCTAAGCGACCAAATAATGTTAAGTATATCTCCAAAACATTTTACTATACATTTACAATCCACTCAATTCCTTCTGAAACACCAACTGCTTAGGTTAGTGCTTTCTAAAAGACAATACTAGGTTTATCAAGTTCTAATATGTGGAACACTAAGGTTAAAATTTTGTGTTTTCCGATTTTCTGTAATCTAAACATCACTAATGAGCCTGACCTCCCAACTGGTCCCTATCATTTTAACTTTGTTTCCTCTTAACCTAAAAAATGAATTTACTTCAAAAACCAAGTCACAAACAGAAACTTATTTGCTCATATCATACTTCTAAAATTTACTGCAAGAAGGAATGGCATTATAAAATAATACAAAAGATGGAACAATAAACTAGGCATGCCTGCCTCTTAATACTTTATTTATTTTAGTTCATTAGTCCACTGATGTATTTGTATAGATGCTTTTTTGCAGCACAGAGAATTAATTAAAGAGACTTTAAACATCTGAAGTGGGTCAAATATGAAAAGATCTCTGCAGAATCTTAAGATTATGAATACAGAATTGTCCACTACATTTTTGCCCTGATTATGATATCTAATTCAATGCCTATCTTGAAGACTCTTAATAAATCATATCTACTCATCCAAAAAAGAAAAAGAGTAATCAGCCAAAAGTCACAAAAAATTTCAGGTGTGCACTAAAACCAATTCAACCAAAAGACCTTCTTTAAACACAAAAAGTATTCTCACAAGTCTAAATTGATTATTTTCCTACTTTATTAAATAAAGAGGTACTCTACTAGAAAAGGGTAATATATAAATATTGAGTATTTTGGCAAAGGTTTCTATAGGTTGACACCAAAGCAGACATGTTAACACATAAAAGTCTGTGATTTTTCTGGAGGCCTATTACTTCAAAAGGTATGTCACTTTTAAAACTATCTGGAATTAATTTGTCCAGCCCTCCCTTCTCACTTACTTCTCTTTTAGAATCAAGTCCAGAAGACAAAAAGTATTAATATTATAGGTATCCTTTATACTCTTCAAAACCATTAATAACTTTGATTTTTGTTTTTCAACTTGTACATATTTGTAGACACAGGATTATTTCTAAGAATAAATGGCTGATTTTCTCCCCTCTCCTGGAACTTCTCTTTAGGGTTTCTACTCAAATATAGAGTTGCTTAGAACTATCTGCTAAGCATCTGTTATGTACAAAATATTTTGCTCAATCTCTGCTCCTAAGAAGCTGATGCTACCCTCAGCTAGTTCCCTATAGAATGGGACAAAGGGGATTTGAGTTTAAAGGAAAGCAAGATTACTCGGCTGGAGTATCAGAAGCAAGATTCAGTGAGCAGGTAAAAATGTATTTGAAGACTAAAAGATGAGAAGAGTTTACAGCCCTCTAACCTGTATCGTAGCTAAACATATTTTTTGAAGACTTCGACAGGTCACATAGTTCTCTTAAATTAAAAATTAAATAAGGCATTTATCACACTAGCTCTAAAATTAAACTATACAATTTTTCTTCCCATTATGAATTTACCAGTCCTAAGTAAGAGGTCAGAGGGGGAAAAAGGTGTCAGACAACATTTAACTGCTCTAGACAACACTATCCTGAGGGTTCTTTGAGTAAACATCTCTCTGATTGCTATTTATTGTCTTACAGTTGGATGATGAAATATATAGACACTTGAACAAAATTAACTTCCATGTTAATTTTCTTCACTTTCTAAAATGAGGAAAATGTTTCCAAGCATTGTGTTCAACAGTAACACAAAAAAACAACTGATAAGAATGCAATAAAACTAAGTGACATTCAATTTTGAAGCTCTCTCAAACAAACTGGTAAATAGGGAGTGTTGGCTATTATGATTCAAAAATCCTTCTTCGTTATAATTCTAATAAATCCAGAGACTAGTATGTAATTCGTTTAGTTCTAAAGAGCTAAAAGGTAAAGATCTTGTTCTAACGATAAATCTACATTTTAAATGTGTAGCATACATATTTACATACAAATATTTTTTATTGTTTATTATTATTTATGCCTGCAGCACCTGGTCTTCCTAGGTGGTCTCCCATCCAAGTACTAATTAGGCCCGACCCTGCTTAGCTTCCGAGATCAGACATCGGGCTTGTTCAGGATGGCATGGCTGTAGGCCATGGACCGTGGCTCCACTGGGGCACAAACCCAGGACCTTCTGCGTGTAAAGCAGATGTGCTAACCACTACACTATGGAACCATGTCCAGCATACATATTTATAATGTGCCTTCTTCTCTGACTACATTAGACACATGTGTCATTTAGCATTTAGAGGTAACCACACCAGTACTTCATACATTCATAAACCTCTAAATCTTCTATCATACTAATTCCCAATCTGAATTATCCCATCATCTGCTTTTCCAACTCCCTCTCCGGCCAAAGGTACTGTTAGGGAAAGTCATATCATCATGCTCCCTTGGCCTCCAACAAGTTCACAAGTTCTTCTATTTTCGATTAAGGTTATGACTGGCAAACAATAATCCTTTTACAGCACTCTCCAAAAGGGCTTTTTCAAGTCTCTTCAAGCCTTTAATTCTACCTTACCTTACCCTCAACCAATGACACTGCCTCCACATTTTAGAGAGCTCTCCAATCTCTGACTCGAGATCTTTCACAAAATTATCTTCCCTTGTCTTTTTCCCTTTATCTTTGCATTAAATGCCAGCACACTTCCTTCCAGATCTTGCTCTCAAAATTATCTCTTCTCCATTCACCCAATATCTTCAATTCTTCCCTCTTACAAGCACTTTTTCTCTAACTTCTAATATGTATATATCCATTCTGAAAAATCATAACTTAACCTTAATGTCCTTGTAGCAGATCCCTATTTCTCTTATCACTTTCATATCAAAACTTTTTGAAAAGCAAAATCTTCCTATGTCTACAAGATCTTAAGAATGACTCTAGTCCACTAGCTGTCAACATTCAGTTTTCCCTAGACCTACTTGATCCTACCATGAAGAAGCAAAGACTAGCCTCTCTTGAAAACAAAACTTTACGAGGGTCTCTATTAGGTTTTTTAAGATCACAAGAATCAATTGTATTGCTGGAAGTAAATTCTATTTCGAGAGCTTTCAAATTTTAAAATTATTAATAACTACTTTCAAGCATGTCCCCCCATTTGCAGAAGACTGAGACCAAGCTTATAGTAAAATTCTTCATGATCTTAAAAGATTCATCATCTGTTTAGATGATCCACCCAGCCTCAAAATTCTCATAGACTTTCATTTCTCTTCAACTTTCAGCCACCCACTAAGTTCTCGCACCACTGGAGACTGCTTTATCCTGGACATTTTAAATCTCAGTATACCATTCCTTGATCACCACTATTCTTTCATGAGTTTACTCTCTCCATTTTCTGCCTTCTGTCGGATTCCCTCACTTCTCTTCCTTCCATGTCTAGCCTGGACTCCATGGTGTTTCATCTGAAGCAACGTCTTTGATTGGAATCCTTATCCTTTCCTTATAGCCAATCTAACCCAAAATTAGTGCTCCAAGTTCACTTTCTTCATTCCTACACAAAGATGGTTGAACAGAGAAAATTCATGAGTGATCCATGATAGAGATCTATGTCTTTGGGAAAACTGATCTCGTTCCTACTCCCTTTTCTAGGTGTAGGACATAAATCAGGCTGAGCCAATCAGGTTATTCTTACCCTCTGACAACAGTGATAGGTTCAGGGATAAGCATCTGATCTGAGGCAGTTTGATCAGAGTGAATATCTAGACTTTTATTGGTAATGCTAGGAAAAAGATTCTCAAAATTAACATAGCAGCATTTACTTGGATTTTCAAGAGGAATCAACCTTATGGTAAAGCTGACATCAAGTAAGCAAACCAAGACAAAAATGAAATCTGATCCTGATAACATTGGGCTACTAGTTCCAGTCTAAACCTAGTGAATTCCACTCAATCTCTCGACTTTTTAGTTCCATGAACCAAAAAACTTCCTTTCAGCAAGAGTTTCAATTGCATTTTCTACTGGTTATAAGCAAAAGAATCCTGATACATATCTGGGTTGAGACTGGCATCAACAAATCAGGCTAATACGTCGGTTGATGTCCAGTTGCCAATTTTGATCTTAGTTCCCAGTTATCAGTAATCGGAGCTTCCTTATTCCTCATAGCCAATACTTTGCTCATAGCAGATTAAGAGTATTTGTTGAATCAAATTATCAAGGCAGGATCTAGAATAGGCATCTGAGAGAAATTTATTATCCAAGTTCAAATGATATTGTCTTCTATAAGCAATAAAATCAACTTTTAAAGTGTTTCTCAAACATTTGTGGCTTCAATCCACAATAAGCAATGTATTTTATATCGTGATCTGGTACACACAAAATCTACATAACTGAAAAAAAATTCAAAGAATAAAACTTACTCCCTACTACTTGCAAAGCACTATGCTATTTTCTCTTCTTTTTTTTTTTTTAAATGGCTCATCAGTACTAATCAAATTGCTTTCACACTTCTCACAGGATAATGACTTAGATGTAGAAAAACACGGTCCTAGGAGTTTTCTTAAATCAAAACTGGGAACATCTATGCTAGTAAACAGATTAGTCAAGGCAAAACACACACACACACGGAAATAAAATACCCCAGTCGAGGCATCCTTGGACATAGATTAGGTGTAGAATCTTTTAAGTGGTTCTACTTCTCATCTTGTCTCACCCTTCCTTAAAATGCAAAAATTAGACTTTCAGTGTTACTGCCTTGCTCAAGTCTTCAAAGTGGTCCTCAGTCTATAAGGCTCAGATATTAGACTAGAGACCAGAGTCATGGTAAAGAACCCATTAAATTTACCAAACACTGCATGTACCATGTAAAATACTCCAAACATACACTGTGACGACTATTTGTCAAAGTTATATACATGTCAGTTAATAAAAATACAAATTCATTTAATTGTCATTACAATGTATTTCTCAATCAAGAGTCACTAAAATTTATCTGTTCCCCAATACCTTTCCTTTCATTTTTTGAACGTCAAGTTATCACCTGCAATTAACAAAAATTGTTCTTCATAACCTGAAAAATCAGTGGCTAAGTAGTTTCAAATGATATCATATTACCTGATGGTTACCACCAGCAAGTAAATCAAACCCTTATGTAAAAGGTCCACAAAATCTTTTGTCCAAAGAGAGAATTCTTAGCATTAATGAGAGAGAGAGAGAGACAGACAGACAGACAGACAGACAGACAGGCAGGCAGGCAGAGGGTGACAGAGACAGAAGAAAAGGAAGAGAAGGGAAAAAACCAAAACTGAGAATCATTAATATAAAGTATGGATCAAAAAACTTCCTTTCCTTAGCGCTTTAAAGCCCTCTATACTATTACACCATTTTAACCTTAACCAACCTTATCTCCTACTATCACCCAACAAATATCCTTCACTCCTGACAAGTTACTTATTTTACTAACACACATAAAAAGTTCACACTAACATTCAACCTACTGTTTCCCCTGCCTGGAATTCCATTTCCTTCTCTTATCTAAAACTTGTTTATCCAAACCCTACTTGTCCATGAAGGAATGTGTTCACATCTCCTCCCTCTAGCTTCCTATAGCTTTGTAGTCTACAGAAGTCATCTGACAGCATCATAAAAATAACTGTAGTGAATGTGTTGTTCAAATTATAAAATAAGATAAACAATTTAAAAGCACTTTGAAAATTTCAAGGTTTTATTTTCTGAATAGTATTAAATTAAAAAAAAAAACATAATAAATCAACTGACTTATCGCAAACCAAATGACAATTTTTAAGGATGTTCTACCTGAAAAGCACTTTTTCAGGAAATCCCTGGATTTTCGTCACTCTCAGAAGTAGCATCTTCAGAACAATACTCCTTTAATTTAGGATGGATTTATATATTGAGAACAATTCATTTCTGAGTTACTGCAGTTATCTGGCTCTACTGTCTATAAAGTGGGAAATTACATACATAAAACTTAAAGAGCCAAAGTAAACTGGGACATTTTAATTATTTGAAAATAAAATTCCATTTTCTGCTAGACACTTTTTTCATTTAATACATTTTAAATTGGATTCAAAAAGTATTTTAGCTCGTATTAAACATATTATCTTCATATATGTAAATTTTAAGTGTACAATACTTTGTTGTTGACAGTAGTGACAACGTTGCTAGATATTCTTAAAAGACTCTCATCTTACCCATTACTTGCGGTGGAACATACTAGTGTGAGCAGCAAACAACATAATGGCCATTGGTTAGGATCTCTTCAAGTTAATGGGCTTTAATAGCATCTAAAGAGCTTGATCATTTCAACTACTGAAAAGGGACTAAAAACCCTATGCCAAGATGGAATCAAAGTATTTAATTTCTCGATGCAGTTTTTTTTTTTTCTTCCTTAAAATAATACTTAAAGCCCTGAGAAATGCCAGGATAGTCAAGTGGAAAAAAAGCTTTAGAATGCGAGCTCTTAGCTGAAATAGAAATCGCTAACATTTTAGCTCTCACTTCATATAAGCCAAGCATTACACTAAACCCTTTGCAGGAGTTATTCGTTTAATCTACGCACCAAAAGTAGATACTATTATTATCATCGTGCCCAATGTACAGTTTAGACACTGAGCTTTGAAAGATAAGTCCGAAGTCATACGTAGTAAAGCAAGCGTTCCTGGAAGTTGCACCTGGACGTAATTAAGCCTTCGCTCTTAACTACTAATTTAGTAATCTGACTGCCACGTTGTGCAAGTCATATATTTACTCTAGGCCTCAGTTTCCTCATCTACAAAAATAAAGCAACGAATACTACAGTTTCCTACAGCGCTGCCTAGCTTCAGTACTATCAATCTTAAAATTTCCCTGGGGCGTCAACAAGCCAGTGTTATTCCTTTTAACTGAATTTAACTAAAAAAAAAAAAGTATCTATATATGTGTGTGTGTGTGTGTACACGTGTATAAATATATGACGCACCTACTAGGTGTCCGGCCTTGTGGTGGGCAGCGGCCCAAGTCCAGGTCCTCCACTCCCTGTGCTCCCGCCCCTGGGTACCAAGAGACGCTTTTTTCACCCGCAAATTCCCGAGACAGGCTCCTTTCCCCTCCCGAGCCCCAAATGGCACACACCCGCCTCTGGGCCAGGCCCAGCTCTGGTCCCTGGATCCACTCACCCTTTAGGTTGTTTCCATTGCCCGGCGCCGTGAGACCCCGCATCCCCGCAGTTCGGTCCCCCGCTGCGGTCGTATGAAGTGTCCCCGTCTGCGATTTTTCGGCGACTCTGCCTTTTGCCATGGCTGCTACAGAGAAGGTAGAGGAAACAGGGTGATGCCGCGCCCCCTGACCAACTCCACCGCAGCCTCCTTATTAACACCCAAGGGCCACAGCCACTTCCGGGGCGACCTCCTCACCTGAGACGACCTCGGCCCCGCGATAACAGCGACGCTCGGCTGAGACTAGCAGTGCCCACTCGCACTAGGCTCCGCCCCGCGCCTCCCCGCACCGCCCCCGAGAATCGCGTGCTCGCGCGCCCGCCGAGCAACCGCGAGACACATTGGATCCAGGCCCTCCCCATTCAGCGCCCCGCCCCCGCAACAGCGGGAGCATGCGCAGTCGCGGCTCCGGCGTCACCTGATGTGACTCGAGGACCTTGGCTTCTAATGCGCTGCTCTAATTATGCGGAAGTGCAGTTCCAGCGACTTCAAACCTTTTGTCTAGGCCGCCGGAAGTGCCTGCTAGTGATTAGTTGGCATTTCGTGGTGGTTCTATATTCAGTACACCTCTTTTCGCACCATTTTCATAATCTGTCTTGAATTTGGAGGGGCTAGAGAATGCTTGGTCTGAAGATGTTGGAAAACGTAAAACCGAAACCGATTCTCTACCGAGTTTCAGGAAAATAAGGTCTCACGGAGGAGCTCTAGTGGTGAAGGTCACAGGGTGGCAGAAATGGGTTTAGAATCTGGGCCTCCTTATTCCCAAGCAATGCTTTCCTTCGTCATCACCCTGCTGCCTTTCTCTGGTAAACCCAGGTCAGCTCGTTACATTTATCTTTGCCTATTTGATGAGCCCAAACGTGCCCTTTTTTGACAGTTACTTTTTCCATTCCTATCTCTCAGATCAGTGTTGGGTTTACTCATTGGAGAGTGTATTGGAATTACCTTGTAAAAGCAACTTGGCTGTATGTATAAAAATACTGTTCCCATCCAGTAATGACATTTCTAGGAAACTATTCCTTGGAAATAGAGTTGTTCCTAATAGCTTTAATAAGTATAATGATAAATGTGGAAGCAATCTAAAAACCCAACACTAAAGAAAAATGATTAATTATTGGGGATCCATTAAATGGAACTGTCTTATGTGCATGTCTTTTGCCTACTTCTATTTAGACCTTTGGTGACCACTGTGAAAAGTAGTTCCCCATTTTATTTCTTTCATAGTCATTATTAAACGCAATAATTTGAATTATTTACTTATTTATTGCCTGCCTCCTCCTCTAGAATGTAGGCTCTGTTAAGATAAGAGGCTTGTCTTTTCGTCATTGTATCCCCCAGCAGCTAAGTGGGCATTCGATAAATTTGCTGAATAAATTTTCAACCATAGAAAATGATATTTATGAAGATACTAATATGTGGACTATGCTTATTAAAAAACAATTCCAAGTGATAATTATAAAAACAAAATATTAGAATATGTAAGCAAGTAAGTTTGTATCTTTAGTGTAGAGGTCTTCTAGAGCCAGACAAAACTTTTTTTTCACTACACACAAAAATAAAAAGTATCACAGAACACCAAAAAATAAATTCTAAAAACACTAAAACTAAGAACAGACTGAGAAAAAATATTTGCTATATAAATAAGAATTACTACAAATCAGTAAGAAAAGCACAACTTGACAGAAAAGTGTACAAAGAATATGAACAGTCAATTCACAGAAGAAATTAAACAGCCAACAAATTGATGAACAACCTCAATACAGTATGATAACACTGAGAGGTGTGTGGATCACAACAAAAGAGAAGGTATCTAAATTAGAAAGGGGCTACAGTGAAGTTCTAGGAAGAATGATTTTTAAACTGATGTTAGGGGATGAGTGAGAATTAATAAAGAAGAAAAAGCTTTACAAACGCTGGAAGCTACTGCTTATTTTTGAAAAAGCTGCAAGTGAAGAGAAGGAGAATGAAAAAAATGAGATGAAAGAGATAAGACAAGGAAGGACCTTATGACAGTGCTGGAAGTTTGAACTAACCCTCAAAGATATCATCAGAAGCCACTGAAGAACTTTTAACCAGAAAGGGGCCAATTAGGATTCATATTAACAAAGCTTGTTTTGACTGCCCAGTTATTGAATTGGAGGAGAGCCACACTAGCAGCAGAAAGAGAAGCGAAGAGGTTATTGTTGTAATTCTGGCTTGACCCGCAATAGTAGATGGGAAACAAAGAAATGACATCAGATATAAGATGATGTATGAGAAAACTAAACATTTATTACTTTAATTACATAAGTACATACATAGTCATTCCAGAAAAATATTGAAAAAGCAAACTATCAGAAAAACATAAAAATCATCTCTAAAGCCACCATCTATAGATAATCATCATATTTAGGATTTACCCTTCTGGAATATTTGAAATGTTAAGGAAGTAAAATCTAGAGGATTAATGCCCAAATTAGACAAATATATTAGTGAGAACGAAGTGGTCAAAATTTGGAAGGTAAGATATTTACCTTCCTAGGGCTAGATGTTTGGAGAATTTCTGGTTTAGGAGGCTGAGGGGAATATTTGCACCTAAGAAATTACAGAAAGAGGAGTTGGATTGGAGAGAAAGACACTGAATTTCATTCTGGATACTGTATCTATACTTGCTCACTTCCTGACTTTTACCACCTTTTCTCAGCTGAAAGTGCTTTCATGATCACCAGTGAGTTTCTTTTTGTTGGATTTTGTGATCAGTTTTTAGTCATCGCTACCTCTCTTCATTGCTTAATACATTAACTATTCCCTCCTTCATGGTTTTCATGATAATTCTGACCACTTAGTAACCTCTTCTGAAGGAAACTTCTTTTCCCCACCCCTTAAATGCTGGTATTCCCTCGAGAAATGCATTCTTTCCTCAGTCTACGAACTGTTTCTAGGCAATCTTGGCCATGACTTCAACAATCATTTATACATGTATGGATGACAAATGTTTATGTCAAACACTAGGATGACATTATAGGACATTTACTCCAGGGTGTACCACAAGCACCTTGTTAAACCAAAAAATTTTAATTCTCATGACTGAAGTAATTGTTAAGTAAGGTTTCACTGAGCCTAAAATGCTGGCCCAAAAGACCAATCTTGGGGCACGGAGTCTAAACCACCAGCAGCATGGCTAGGTAGAAGAGACAGAATGTCCATTGTCCCAGAGTTTTGCAAGCATTTTTATACATCGAGTAAGGGGATAGGGGGAAGGAAGAGGTAGTCTGAAAAAATTTACATGACGTATAGGCAAAGGGGCAGGAGAAGATGAGTCAGGCCCAGCTCTGGGATAGCAGAGAGCACATAAAGAAATGTCTGCTCTTGTGAATTGGCTGTGGGCAGCTATCCAGAATGCCCACGTGTAAACAATAAGTGGCGGCTCCTGAAGTTAGTGCCTGGATACAATAATGTTTGGAAATAGCCACCTGGAAATTAATCCGAAGCTCCAACGGGCAAAACAGGAATGTGAGAAGTCTTTTGGTAGCTGGTCAACAGCCATTAACAGAGTAGCAGTTCTCTTTTTCTTATTCTCTGGCTGCTCTAATTTAATTTAGAACATCTCAATTTTTTTTCTTATCAACCTCAGACTCAGAACATCCAGATCTGAATAAATATCTTACCTTCCAAATTTTGTCCACTCCATGTTCACAATCTTGGGAGGTAGTGCCATCAGCTCCCCTCTTGCTCAACCTAAGAATTCTCATTTAACAATCATTAAATCCAATTTTTGAGTAAATGTATCTGTGAATGAATTCCTTCTTGTCCTTCACACCCACATCTGGTCAAACACTGGATCTAGTCAGATCTCAATCTCCTTACCCTCCTCATTTAGATCTTGTGGTTTCTCTTCCCACTCACCTTTAAGAAATTTTCCATATTACCACTAGAATAGTCTCTAAGAGATAATCTTGAAGCCCTTCATGATTTGCCACAAGCTCAATCCAACATGAATAAAATGAAAAAAAGAAACCACTCTGAACCACATGTAGTACCTAGTACCCTTAACATACTATACTCACTTGTGCTGCTGTGCCTTAACAATAGTTATTTCTGTGCCTTCTCCCCAGTGTTTTTTCTATAATCAATTATTGCTTATCTTTGAAGAATTATCTTAAGGTTACTGGCCCTAATAGGCACTTCCTTCCCTGGATTGCCTCTACTTTAGTAATTATCTAATTATATTTTAGTTGTTTACTTATTATCTGCCACCAGACCATAAGTACCATTTAGTGATCCAGCACAGTGCCTTTTTTCAATATGTTTTTGTACAGTGAATGCCTTTGAGATGCATGAAAGCTCTCCAAATACATATGATCAAGATAGTTAAATATAGGAGTCCCTTGCTTAGCAGAGATTGAAACAAAGTCTAATGTTGAAAATACTGATACTTTTTTAAAAAAGGAAACTGAGGATGGTAGACTTATTTTGATGCAGGACAGGGCAAATCTCCCCCAGTGCGGAGAGACCAAGCCCTGCACTGAGAAAGGAAGAGGGTCCTTTGGCAGAATTTGTAGAAAGAATTCAACACACACGCCAAAGTTAGAGTCAAAAGGAAAGTTTATTAGAAAAGAGATAATATTCCATAGACAGAGCTTGATCTCCTCTCAAAGGCAGAGAATGAGAGGGACTAAGAGAGACGTGGACAGTGAGAGTAAAGGCAATGAGATGGACAGTGAGAGAAAGACACCGAGAGGGACCCTGAGTGTTCAGAGAATTCAGTTTAAACACACACGCCAAAGTTAGAGTCAAAAGGAAAGTTTATTAGAAAAGAGATAATATTCCATAGACAGAGCTTGATCTCCTCTCAAAGGCAGAGAATGAGAGGGACTAAGAGAGACGTGGACAGTGAGAGTAAAGGCAATGAGATGGACAGTGAGAGAAAGACACCGAGAGGGACCCTGAGTGTTCAGAGAATTCAGTTTATATATACAATTTTATTAGTGTAAGGCAGCCTGTAAAGAAAGACTCTTTTGTTCCTGTTTCCCCTTTCACAAGTGTGGGGAAATGGGATGTGAGCAATATCAGTAGAACTCTTCTTTTTTTCTGAATGTGTCCTCCTGACCTTGTTGCACGGCTGATCAGCATATTGCATTCTCTGAATGTAGCTCGATTTAACATTTTAATTCTCTTGCCTCCTCCCTACATTAATTTCAACATATATATATATATATATTCTAAAAAATTATAAAGCTGTAGTCATTAAGACAAGGGTATATTGAGGCTGGAAAAAAGTGGGCCAATGAATGGGATCAAATAAACCCATGTAATTATGGGGATTAGTGTATGATAAAAGTAGCATTTTAAATCAGAAAAAAAAGA